GAATCCCAAACCCCCCCCGGGCCGGGGCCTGCTGCTACCTCTGTATCAGCGGTAGCAATGCGGGGCAAAAGGCAGCCAGTCGGTGAGGGGAGCAGGTAGACCAGCTCTCACCTGGCACCCTGCGCTGCTGCCTCTGATACAGAGGCAGCAGCATGGAGTAGCAGGGGGCTCCCTGGGAGTGGGGCGGGAGCGCACTGGCTGCTGGCCCCGCCCCGAGGGACTATAGACTAGTTGACTAAACAATGAGAATTCATGAGGTTACTTGACTATTCAATTAACTGATATTTAACATCCCTAGACTGAGTGGGAAGGGCTGGGTCAGAGGAAGGGTTCAGGAACGGGGTGGAGCATCTGGGAAGGAGGGTGCGGTCCCTGGGAGTGGGGCGGGAGCGCACTGGCTGCTGGCCCCGCCCCGAGGGACTATAGACTAGTTGACTAAACAATGAGAATTCATGAGGTTACTTGACTATTCAATTAACTGATATTTAACATCCCTAGACTGAGTGGGAAGGGCTGGGTCAGAGGAAGGGTTCAGGAACGGGGTGGAGCATCTGGGAAGGAGGGTGCGGGAGCGAGGTGGGGATGCGGAGACTTTGCAGGAGGCGGGTGTGTGAGGAGGATGGGTCCGAACGTGAAAGGGATAGGGGGTGCTGACCTGGTTCCGTGCCTCTTGCCGCTCCCTGGCATGGCCCCCTACTGTTCCCATTGGTTATGATTCTGGCCAATGGGAGCAGATGAGAGAGCCTCCATGAGAGCAGTTTCCTGCACTGCCATTCCCCAGCCGGGGGGAGGGGTAGCAGCAGCACACAAAGCCACTTCCTCCCCCCGCGAGCTAGATTTGGCCCTCAAGGCCTCCCCCCCCAGCAGTGGGAAACCAATGCTGACGCTCCAACTATGCGAGGGAGGGGAGCGGGGCTGGAGCACCAGCGTAGGCTCCCCCCTGCACCCCGAGCCCATGGCCCACCTGCAAGATGGTCGCAGACCACTCATGATCCATGGACCACACTTTGAGAACCACTCGTAAAATGGGGTGTTCGCTGAGGGGAAAGGCAGACTTTGCCTGTTTCATGTTTTCTTGTCAAAATTATTTTGTCATAGTGAAACACGTATCTTTCACATTTCACAGTCTGGTGAAAACAAGACATTTTGTGCAGGTGGTAAAAGGAAGGCAAGCGTCTGTTGTGCTGTGTAGCAGTAGACACCTATTTAAGGGCTGTAATGTATCACTTTCTCTACCTAGCAGACAGCTGTTTGAGGCATAAGATAAGCTGCAGAATGCTTCTATGTCTATTGCCATTTAAGCTTAAATAATAGACCGGTAACACACTGAAAATGCCAGTCAGTTTCATAAACTGCTTAGGTGACAGGAACTGAAATGTCTCATGGTCAGCCTTCTGCCTCACAATATATTCTTTACCCGGGGGCTAAAATAATCACCCAGTTTAAAAAAAAAAGTGTTGCACAGTTTTATAGAGAGAAGATGGCATGTGGTTTTAAATATTAAAAAGGCAACAGAAAAATCACAGACTTGTTGCTCTAGATTCTCTCCCGTATATATCAGTGTCAATGAACTAACACTAGTGTCAGTGGGAACAGAATCAGCTTCTAGGCTAGAAGTAGGCATGGTACATGCAAATGCTCTTCATCGTACTCAGAGCAGCTCTCCCAGCATATTGACCTTAATATTGACCCTTAACTCTACTGCTGGTCCATGCTCTTATCTCCTCCTGAGCATAGATTACCAAATGTCCTGAAATGTCTTTGCTGTATTATATGCTGGCTCACATTTCATTACGCATGGATTTGATCCCATGCCTACCGACCAGAAGAATGTCTGTCTTTGGAAAGGCTTATGAAAATAAAATCAATGAACAAAATAGAGTTGGACAATTAGCACCTAGAGTATTAGTGATTAATATTTCATGCTCCCTGCAATGCTGTCCAAACAAAAGAGATGAAATATGAATGAACTGCAGTTTTGACACATGCAAAACCCACAAAGGAAACAAGCTGATAGGGAGTTCCTGCCATTCTTACAGTTAGGCGAAATTCATGTTGATGGCAATGCAGGATTTGAGTGTCCAAGGTCTGTAAATTTCGTCCTACAGTTAGGATGATAGGAAAACCACTTACCAGTCGGAGCTGGAGAAAATCAGGTGTGAAATCTGCAGTGTCTCTGACAATCCAAACCCAGGATTCTCAGCATTGTGACAACCTGGAGTATAATGCCAACTTGTGCTGAAACATGGATGGCTGAATAGATCCTAGCTGGGAACAAATCCGATTCATTACTGGCAGATAAGAGAGCCCTGCTGTCGTTGTTTGGACATGGGCCTATTTTGTGTAGATCCTAGCTAATGGTCATAGAGCAATTTCCCCCCAAAGCACCCAGCATTGGCCACTGTCGGAAGTCAGAATACTGGGCTAGAGGAACCATTGGTCTCACCTAGTTGGGCAGTTCTTATATTCACATTATAGCTACTCACCGGCTAATGTGGAAAGAATTTGGTGATCACTAGAGCTCTGCAAATGTGTGGAGATTGGCTTTATATCTGTGGGGATTCACACCCACATCTGTGAATGCAGATATCCCCAGCTCATTTATGCAGATGTGGAGACAGATACAAATTTTGCATCTAGCGCCTTACAAATTTGCAGATGTGGATGCCGATATTCGCAGCTCATTTTTGTGGATATGGATGCAGATACAGATACCAATTTTATAACCGTGCAGGTCTCTAAGTGATCACAGTGCAATATCCCCAAAAGAGACCTCCACGTAATAGTCTGGTTTTAAAAACCACTAAGAGAGGGACATTTTAGTTATGAAAAACTTGATGCCCTTGAAAAGACAGCACTATGTGTAAAATGATTTCTTTTCCTGAGGCTATTTTTACGAATCTGTTTTGGAGCTTAATACATATTAAGACTGAGGGGTTTTTTAATTTTCTTTTCAGCTCTAGCACTTTTGTCTGACTGTATTGTAAGAAGCTGGCATTCTCTAATTACAATCATAAGGGTCAATTTGGTAAAGGTTTTATTTATTATGAAGTAAAATTTCTACACAAAATAATTACTGGTGTCAGGTGTTTTTTTTAATTGCAAAAAGCCAGATTGGGATATAAGCTTATTTTATGTCTTATCAAGAGAGACGTATATGGTTACTTTAAACATCTAATATTAATTAAAGTCTGCAAGTAGTGTTTTTGTTTTTTTCTAAGAAAATATTGACCTTTCTGATGCAATTGAAATGTGTGCATACCAATCATGTCACACATTTGACAATGCCATGTGGCGTTTCTCTTTCATAGCTCTCTGCACAGAAGAGTGTGTGCATGGAAGATGTGTATCTCCAGATACCTGTCATTGTGAACCTGGCTGGGGAGGCGTTGATTGCTCCAGTGGTAAGTAGATGCCCAGTTAAAAACATGGATATATTAAAGACACACAGGGTATGTCTACACTATCTCGAGATAGGGATGCAAATGTAGTATACCGAAATTGATAATGAAGCGCGGGATTTAAATATCCAGCGCTTAATTAGCATAATCGCGTCGGGGTGCCATTTTTAAATCACATTATTGTGAAATAAAATACCCCGTGTAGCACCGTTATTTCGAGAGAAGGGTTTTCTCTCGAAATAACGGTGCTACACGGGGTATTTTATTTCACAATAATGTGATTTAAAAATGGCACCCCGACGCGATTATGCTAATTAAGCACAGGATATTTAAACCCCGCGCTTCGTTAGCAATTTCGGTACACTACATTTGTATCCCTATCTCGAGATGGGGAGCAAGTGTAGACATACCACACTGTTTTTAAAAACAAGTCTGTAAGAAATCGGTGGCTTAGGACACAGTTATCTTAAATAGAAAATGAGAAATGTCAGTTTCGTTATTTTTGCAACAGTTCATTAATTTGGGTCATGATTCCTGTCTCAGAAGTGAAATTGCTTTGCTTTGTGTTTTAGCCATGCCAAAGTCCTCATCAAAATACTTCCTGTGATGGACATAAATTTTGGAGGAAATCTTGGACCTGTGAAAGCCAATGGAGTTTTTCTATTGGCTTCAATGGAGCCAAGATTTCACCCACTGATTCTACGCTTTCACTCTTGTCTTCAATCTGAAATGCAGGAATGGATGATGGTAGCTGGTGGGTCTGATGCTTATTTTAGATATTTTCATTAGAAGATTTATTTTTACTTTAGGGCTCAAGTCGTTCAGTGAAAGAAATTTGCATTGCTGTTCTTAGTAAAAATAGGTTTCTGCCTATGTGATTATTTCATGCTGGAATGGAATGGCTAGTTTTATTTCCAGAGTAAACAATGGAAAGTTATGCAGTGTAGGCTCTAGCCATTAATGGTATAATGGAAATAAGTTTATATGAAGGCTCTTTGTGAGTCGGGAGAATTCATAAAGCTGCATCTGGAATCCATTTGGAAGCACTTGGAAGAGAGGAAAGTGATCAGAAATAGTCAACATGGATTCACCAAGGGCAAGTCATGCCTGACCAACCTGATTGCCTTCTATCACAAGGAAACTGGCTCTGTGGACATGGGGAAGGTGGTGGATGTGATATACCTTAACTTTAGCAAAGCTTTTGATACAGTCTCCCACAGTATTCTTGCCAGCAAGTTAAAGAAGTATGGATTGGATAAATGGACTGTAAAGTGGATAGAAAGCTGGCTAGATTGTCAGGCTCAATGGGTAGTGATCAATGGCTCAATGTCTGGTTGGCAGTCGGCATCAAGTGGAGTGACCCAAGGGTTGGTTAGGGGCCAGTCTTTTTCAACATCTTCATTGATGACCTGCATGAGGGGATGGATTGCATCCTCAGCAAGTTCGTGGATGACACTAAGCTAGGGGGAGAGGTAGATATGCTGGAGGGTAGGGATAGGGTCACAGTGACCTAGACAAATTGGAGGATTGGGCCAAAAGAAATCTGCTGAGGTTAAACAAGGACAAGAGTCCCAAGCACTGCTACAGGCTGGGAACTGACTGGCTAAGCAGCATTTCGGCAGAAAAGGACTTGGGGATTACAGTGGATGAGGGCCTGAATATGAATCAGTTGTGCACCCTTGTAGCCAAGAAGGCAAACAGCATATTAGGGTACATTAGTAGGAGCATTGCCAGCAGATCTAGAGAAGTGATTATCCCCCTTTATTTGGCACTGGTGAGGCCACATCTGGAGTATTGCATCCAATTCTGGGCTCCCCTGTACAGAAAGGATGTGAACTCATTGGAGGAAGTCCAGCGAAGGGCAACAAAAATTATTAGGGGGCTGGAGCACATGAATTACATCAGGAGACTAAGGGATTTGAGCTAGGGAGGTGGTGGAATCTCCATCCCTGGAGTTTTTTAAGTCTTAGTTTGACAAAGCCCTGGCTGGGATGATTTAGTTGGGATTGTTCCTGCTTTTAGCAGGGGGTTGGATTCGATGACCGCCTGAGGTCTCTTCCAACCCTATGACTGTATGATTTAGAAAGATGCTATAAGTCACTGAGTGAATGGACCTTTCATTTTGGTTTGGGTTCCTCCCATCACTCTCCCAAATTGATTGGAAGTTGGAAAAAGACACCTTGTTAACAAGCATCAAAATAACAGATAGGGACACTGTAAAGAGAGACACATTAGAAATATTGATAGGCTCAAAGGGCAGTAGCAGTTCAATATCACCCAAGGGTAAAACAGTTCCTGAGATTGCACCGTGTTTCTTGAAGCCAATGGGATGGAACTTTGGCTGATCACAGACATTATAAGTGTTCTGTCTTCTGCTCTGGCAATGTCACTCCAATTACAGGAGGAAAGACATTTGTGGGAGAGAGTAGGAGGTTCACGAGGACAGATGTATTCACTCTTTGTAGGAGCTGGGAGGGCCTGTAAGGTCAGGTCTACACCAAACGGGAAGATAGAACAAGATACACAACTCTAGCTATGTTAATTACGTGGCTGGAGTCGACATACCTTGACATGAGTTTCTCTGCTATCCCCACAGTTGGAGGCTGAAGGAAGCAAATGTTCTTTGAGTGACGTCTCTGTGGGTGCTCCACTATGGTGTTGGGTCATCCCGAGGCTGCAGATCGGAGTTTTCCCTAGCAGTAGCCAACTGGACTGTGCATGCTCAGTAGGCGCCTTGTGCTCGCATGCACAGTCTGGCTCCCGCCAGTTCCTTTGTTGCTACCTTCGGTCGAAGACAGAGTGAGCTCCTTTCCTCAGATATTCTAGTCAGAGATAAAAAATTAGTTAATAATTAATAGTTTTAGTAGTTTCTAGTTATTTGTAGTTATAGTTAGTTTTTAGAAGTTCATTATTCTGTTTAAAAAAAAAACCCACCACAGTATAGCTACCAGCTATTTTTAAGGCCACGGCTATCAAAAACAACAAAACAGAACAAAACGAAAAAACCAGAGGGGAGACAGAGAAGAAGACTCCTCACAATGCCAGGCTCACCGGGTTTCAAAAAGTGTGACATTAGTTGCGAGCCCATGCCTAATTCTGACGGCTGCTCTTCTTGTATTAGGTGCCTTGGCAAGGCACACATACCTCAGAAATGCCCGCACTGCTCAAAGCTGACTGCAAGAGCACGCTGAGATAGGGAGATGTGTCTCCGCATGCTCCTATTTGATAAAGCACTTCAGCCATTGGACTCTACGTCATCCACAACCCATTCAGATCCTATCAGGGCTCAAAAACAGAGAAACGCTTCCCCGAGTTTGGGCTCCTCAGCTAAAAAAGGAGCCTCTCCAGTGCCCTCTGTTCCACCAGCTTCAACAAGTCGAGTTAGTACGGGGGACAAGCCCGGAACATTTGGCATTGCGGCTTCGCAGTCTAAGGCTGCCTCGGAACCAAACGCACGACACAAAACATCATTGGTGCTGACCACGGATGTGTCATCTCACCATCCAGCACTGGCAACAGCATCAGCACTGGAAGTCCCATGGCCCTAAACCACGGGAGTCCCTCAGGAGCTCCAAAATAAAGTAGAGGACCTTCCATTTGATAAACAGAAAACTGATGAGGTCCTTCAAGTAAAGACTCCAGAATGATCCTTCATACCCTCGTTATGTGCATGCCCCCATATCGGTGTTTGTGGTACATGCCCTACCAGAGGCACCACAACTTCTCCTATTCGAGATATCAGCCACTGAGGTTCAATCAATCCCGAACGTGATAGTGACACCAGAGAAGGTGTCCTCAAAATAATCGCAATGCCAACCAACTGTCAAACAAGCAGGTTTGACTTCCTGGTTGAGGCCCTTGTACTATCATTGGGCTTCCATCACATCCAATTGTTGGGTTCTCAAGATTGTCGCATCCATTTACACCATCCCTTTCACAGCACTACCTTCAACCTCCCCCATATCCCTCTTCAGGGACCCTTCTCACGAAGACCTACTAAAACAGGAGATCCACCAACTCCTCTCCATTGGAGTAGTGGAAAGGGTACCAGACATGTTCAGAGGCAAAGACTTCTACTCTCACTACTTCCTCATGCAATCACGCAGAAAAGAATGGGCGTTTGGAGGCCTATTTTCGATCTCTGAAAACTCAACCTATACCTTCGAAAATAGTGATTCAAAATGGTAACCCTGGCATCGATAATCCCAGCATTAGACAAAGGGGATTGGTTGGCAGCGCTCGACCTCCAGGACACTTATTTTCACATCACCATTCATCCTGCTCACAGGCAGTTCCTTCAGTTCACAGTCAGTGTAGAGCACTTCCAGTATTGTGTACTACCCTTTGGCCTCTCCTTTGCATCCAGGGTATTTTTGAAGATACTCGCAGTAGTAGCAGTGTACCTGTCGGAACTACATCGACAAGGGATTATAATCTTCCCTTACCTCGATGACTGCCTCATAAAGGGCCCATCTTCTGCGGAAATGGGCCACACGATAGCAAGGCGGACATTCAAATTGCTCGGACTGGTCATTAATGACCAAAAATCCCCTAGAATTTATAGGCGTCTAATTGGACTTCACGGGCATACCTGCCTCTCCAAAGGTTCCAAGCGATCCAGGACTTTGGCACGGTGGTCACCATGAGCCCCACAGGACCTATACTTACCTGCCTTCAAGTCATGGGCCATATGGCAGCCACAACATATGTAGTCCACCACATATGACTGCATTTCCGGTGCCTTCAGCATTGGCTGGCATCTGTGTATACCCCTTCAAAACACCATATACACAAATGAGTCGCTCCTCCGCCCAATATGATAGTTTCCCTCATGTGGTGGACCGAGTCACGCAACCTTCTGATGCGAGTCTCATGCCATTGAGTCCAACAGTCCATCCATATTACCATGGATGCCTCCCTCATTAGATGGGGAGCCCACGTGCACGGTGTGTCCTCACAGGGACGATGGATGGCGCGAGAGGCAACCTTCCATATAAACCTCT